ACAAAATCGAAAAACCCTACATGGCTGTAGAGATAATGTTTGATTTACGAATTAGTTTGATGATAAGTCAAAATTCAGAATAATATTACTTTATGTACTTCATAATTATTGTGTGTCTTTAAAAAGATACGTATCGCTTTCATTGTTCGTTAGGATTATAAATAACACACAGTAAAATACGTCTCGCTCTGCTGTTTAATAATTTTTTCTTCTGTCTGGTATTATTTTGCCGTTTTTGTTTAAAACACCAAATATTGAAATATACTAATTTTTACCCAGGGCGCCATCCTTTGATTTGAAAGCGTTCGTTTCATCGGCTAATGAACACGAACCCGTATGCGTTCACATTTTTAGAGAATGTTCCAAACACTGTCCAAGATATAATCGAAATTCGATGGACATAGCCGTATAGGTACACAAAAATTATTTATCTAACAACTATAACACGTATTATATAACTTTATAAGGTATTATTATAGATAAATATTTATAACGTGTTATTTTTCTAGATCATTCATTGTGTTATTCAACAAATAGGTACCTATATATTTCAACATTATTATCTGTATTATAATATGTTATGTTCAAGTGCCAAGATTAATATATTATTATGGTTCGTTATAGATAATCGATTATATTAGACTGCATTATACAAAAACGAATCCAACACATGCATTTTTAAATTGGTAAACTGTACATGTATTGTGTATTCGTCTGCTTTACATAACTGTAATAGTTATATTTATGTAGTTTGACTTGCCTAATATAAATTACTGCAGTATAGTCATCAGTGTTCGTCAGTTTACGCGGGACTTTGAGAACAGTACATAAATGAAGAATTAACAGGAGCGTTAATTATGTTATGACGGTTAAGCTAGGTTACATAGATCATACCCAGTATCCACTTAATACTCTTACCCGGTTAAACCAATATTTGAATTTGTTCATTGAGATTCTGAGTGTAGCGTGAAAGCCACACAGAATAATATTATAAATCATTCATCTCTCAATCAAAAACGTGATATTATAATAATCGAATGTCCTAAATACACTGATGCACGTAAAATCTTTAAGAATCCAACTTAAATACAATCTAAAGTTCTCAATGAAAACAATGGTGACATTTTTAAGCAATTTAGCGATTCATGCACACATTAGTAAAAACGCTGGGGAATAGCCAGCATTTTTACAAACCAAAAAAGTGTTTTCCAAAGAAAAAAAAAAAGACATTAGTAAAACAACTAAAAACTTCTTCGCTAAACTCAGAATTTAAAAAGAAAAAAACATATTTAATTTATACAAATTTAAGTACTTATTAGTGCAGGTATATAATTATTATTAATGAATAATTATTATTAATAAATGCGCATTTGCATAAATTGCTTTTATACCTGTACAGTCATACAGAGTTCCCTATTTACTATGAACTTGGGATTTTCTCGGAAAGTTAAAATTGAATTTGAATTCTGTTTTTTTCAACCGTTAAGGAATCGCTTAGGAACCAATTTATCATTTAAAAATAGATTTAAGGTTAATTACCCTTCCCTACTCCTCCGGTTTAAATTTCAAACTGTCATAAACAATATAAATAAAATACAAATATTGTGTGTTTGAATGAGGGGGAAAGGACTTCCTAATATTTTATAATCAAAAGTGTATACTCATTTAAAGTAAAAGTATTAGGGGTGACAAATTGAAAAAAGTGTTCAAATAAAGTTTAAACGATCCTATAATGATTGAAAAAAATAAACATAAATCAAAACCTTCGAGAAAACCACTGGTTCATAATACATGGACTGTTATTATTATATGTTTGAAATTGGAATTTTATTCCGTAGATTAAATTGTAATAAATCCAAGGCCAGAGTCTGGCCTTGGAAAATAAAATATTGTGTGTCCTTCGATATATCGACTTATATCTATATCATATTAGTAGGTAATTCGTGAGTTTTTGTTTTTGGAATACGTTTTAACTTTGAAAAATATTTTTTAAAAGTATGATATTTATATAGTAAACGGTTTAAGTAACCTAATAAATACCAACTATAGGAAAATATTTTGCACATTTAAAATTGATTGCAACAAATTAAACGTTTCTGGCGTAATTTATTCGCGATTAAATTTAAATAAAAAATAGTTTAGAATACCTGCAATCCTGCATAGTATATATACGCAGATTTGAAAAATGCAATACCAAACACTTTTGTTCTGTTCAACATTTAATTTTTCTTCTTTCGTAATAATTACTATGCCTTATAATTTGTATATTGTTTTTACAACCATGTATTAAAATTTGTTTTATAAAATCTAAAATAGCTAATTTATTAATTAATTTTGAAATAAAATGTTGATGATACCAATGTATATACTAATAATAAGTCGTTAGTTTCTGAATTGTTTTAAAGTTTACGATAATTTAAATTCTTTTTATCGTTACTGCTAAATAATATTAATCGGCTTATCAATTTGTCTATGAAAAATATTTGTACAAATTAATTTTATAATGTTCAAAAGTTGTAAGAAATTAACCAATCATTATTAGTAAACATTTTTTTGGAACCCCAAAATTTTGTTTTATAATATATGTATTAATTGTGGTAGACTAAAAAAAAAAGAAAGAGCTGATACTAAAAAGGTATGAGCCTGCCTTCGGATGGGAATCCGAAAGTCTGGATTTTTCAGAAAAATGCCATTTAAGCCCTTTCAAATCTTATAAATATTAAATATTATTACAATACAAAGCTGTATTTCAAGTTAAATATTTGGATAAAAATTAAAAAAAAAAAAATCTCTTAACTTTAATTATAAAATGCTTTCGAATTTCGGATTCCGGATTTTCGGATTTCAACAAATCCGAAATCCAAAAGCAATTTCATTTATTGGTATTGTGTTTTATTTCAACATTTTCATAAAAAATATTTTACTCAGGTACAAAACTTTGTACTGCAAAAATATTTAACATTTATATGATTCTTAAATAACTTAAATTACTGTTTTTTTGTGAAAATCTGGATTTTCAAATTCCTATCACTAGTACCTGCACTGTTGTATATGAGAAGTTGAAATGCTAGGATATATAAAATTATTTAATTTAAATCTATAAGCAATGATAAACCATTGTTAATAAAAAACGACATAGAATTCGGTTGTACATGTCTTGAAACGCCGTGATATTTACTATTTTCGTGAAAATTTGATATTAAAATTCTTATAAAAAAAATACATTAAACTCAATTTTCTTTTACCTCAAAGTCCGACTTATAATAAATGTCCTGTTGAATTTTCAAGCACATCTGTTTGATCTAATAATTTTATCTACGGAGTACCTACCGAATAAAAATTACGTTAAAAAAACTAGCAAAATTAAAACATCTATAAATAATTAAAATATGGCTAAAATATTTTGAAAATATTACCATACTTATGAAAAGCAAAACCAAAATAAATCAAACCAGTATTTTCATACATTTTTCCGTTATTTCTATGTTTTTGTCTGGTTTTTCCCGATTATTATAAAAACTACTTGGAAAAATAAAAAAACCAATTACTTATTCATTATCGATATTAAAAACGCGACAAAATAGGTCTTTTTTGTTTTTCTATTGGAGGAATATTTCTGGTAGAAAACATCGTGCGTTCAAATTTAAAATAATTAAATCGCACGCCGTTAATTTGTTCGTTTTTCATATTATTTCATAATTTTCCGAATTTTCGAATTATTACGAAAACTACTTGGAAATTAAAAAAAAAACGGCTTTCTACTCAAGCAACTATAACCGCAATTCAACAAAAAGGGTCTCTTGTCATTTTTCTGTAGGTGTAAACTTTCCGTTGGAAAACATTGTTTGTAAAAATTAAAAACAATGAAATCGATAACGTCACGCCGTGGCTTGCCGTAAATATTGGCCGGGTAATTTTTTTCCGATTTCGCCCAATTATTATGAAAACCCCTTGGGTCTCCTCAATGCACTAGCGATATAAAATTTTTTTTTGTAAAGGTACTCTATAGTTGATATATCGAATCAAGATTTCTGGTAGTAAAGTTGCTCATAAACAAAAAAAAAAAATAGGAAAAAAAAGCTGCCCTAGGATAATAATAACGGGTGCAGCCACTGTTATAGGTAATTTCATTCATATCTGTAAGCAACGAAAACCCATTGTTAACGAAAAAACGATTCAGAGCGGAGTTCGGTTGATAGTGTTATTTCGTCAACAAATATATTATGTCATATTATGGTAAAATAATTATATATGCATTATATTATATTTTCTTTGATAATATTTGTTTAATATATTGTACATATTTTTCCGTTTTTCCTCAGTTTTTTCTATTTGCTGAGAGAACTCTTGGGAAAATCAAAAAATGACCTCATTAGTAAGTAAGAAGAAAGTAACTCCGCAGTCCGATCTCTTTACAGACAAAGTGCTATCATTGAGAATCGAAGCAAAATTGCTGGTAGTAAAATTGTCTGCAAAAAAAAAAAAAGTATACATCATTGTAAAACTATAAGATTCTTCGCTCCACTCAGAATCAAAAATACACACATCGCAGTAAAAACCGATTGATTCCTGGCTACTGCCCGAATCTCAAAAAAAAAAACAAAAACAAACTTAAAAAATAATATCGAACGGAATAAAATTGATTGCGTTTGTCGGAGATCTGGAAATATTTCGACTTTTGATCGATAAAATATTATATTTCTTAGAAAATGTTATATGCTCGATTAGAGTACGCCGTCGCGCTGTTGACATTGGTCTCGAAATCATAGTTCCCGTTATTATTACTATAGCGGTTATTTGAATAACGTATTTGTTCTTGAGACTTGTGCGGACGTCGTCGTTTCCCCCAGCGCGCTCAGATAAGATAACGGACGTGTTTTACGAGCTATGCGCGGATTAATGTTTGAAAATGCGAGTGTACCTATCGCCAAACATTATTGTTATTACAGTGTATCACGGTATTATGCCGTATCGCACTATAGTAATATTGATTTATCATGTGACGCGACATGTCGAGTGTCTCAACGATTCTGTTTTCACTGCTTTTGTTGTATAGCTTTCCGGTCACGCCGCCGCCACCGCCGCCGCCGGTCACTCTCGCGATATTTCGAGGAGACCCGCCGCAAGCGTCGCGCCGAACCGCGCAGTGTTCGCGTACATGACCGGCGACCGTCATCGTCACCATGGTCGACAACAACGGATTCGTAAACATCAACTTGGGCGTAAGTATATATGATATTATACACATAAATACGGGTTGTTTTTTTTTTTTTTTAAATTTTATTTAGTTTTACGCGATCGAAATCGTCTCGGTTGCAAAGTCGCGATTAGTGAGAGAGAAAAACAATTCTACGTTGAATTTAGTAGTTTTTAAACGCTTCAAGTTCGAATTCTAATGAAATATGTTTCGATAATAATGCGAAACATGTACCGTCCTATCAGTGGCGGATTCTAGAGTTATTCAAAGGGGGGGAGGGCAATTGTTCTTTGCTTTTAGTGTTTTTACAATTATTTTAACTATTGTTATTCATTAAGTAATTAATATTATGATAAGTTGGTCAAATCCGTAGACAATATTTTTGTTATCTATGATCAAACCGGGTCAAGGTTTCTGGTGTCATCATTTAGTTTTAGCGGTACTGATTTCTAGTTTCAAGATAAATAGAGATAAGTACCTATACCAGTGGTTAGGATTTGTATTAAAATATTATATTTTACAAACATAAAAGAGCCCGATTTCCGATTTCCGAGTCTATTAACACAATTTGTATAGTTGTAACGCCACATTTTTAATGAGCAGGGCCGGATCTAACATTTTTTTTTACCCGGAGCAAAATATGAAATTGGCGTCCTTTTTAGATTCTGAGTGAAGCAAGAAATGTATTCATTTTACAATGATATTTATTTAAATTTTTTTTTTTTAACCCGGGTGCGTACGTTACGCAATACGGCGAGATTTTCGAATAAATTCGACAATACCATTTACCTTAGTGCGCCGTCTAAATACTTTTCCAGCTGTACGATTGATTGTATTATCATCATTGTTTTAGATTCTGAGTGGAGCGATGAATGTTTTGGTTTTATGATGATGTTTATTATTTTTTTTATATGTGAACAACTTTTCTACCAGAAATCTTGCTCCGATTTATAAGCGTGGCACTTTTTTTGTAAGGAAATGTGACTAGAGTGTAATTTTAAGGGAGGTCGTTTTTTTGATTTTTCCGTGAGTTTTCCCAATAAATAGAAAAAAAAAACGAAGAAAAAACTGAGAAACATCAGAAAAATCTAAAAATGTATAGTAAAATATTACGGTCTGTGCGATTAAAAATAAAAATAATATTACCACTATAGGTAATAGAGTACGGATTTTGAATGCATATTTGTTACGATTTTAACGTAGAACAATACATTATTTACATGCACATAATTTCAAAAATGTTTTTTATTTTGAATTTACTTAAATAATTATTAGATTATTAGCCAACAAGGCTTATTTTAATTTACATTGAAAACTCCTTTAACAAACACCTCCTATTAGTGGACTTTTTTTGGGGGAACAAGGACGTTTTCATTACTTTTCAACCGGAAAACCTCCGAATAGCGGACTCTCCAAATAGCGGATACTATTTTAATCATCATAATTTAAAAATAATGACAAAATGACGGTATCAAAACGTATTCATATTCTTATATGTACTCTCGTATAATAATGCAATTACTATGACAAACTCGTTACATGGAACGATAAGATTACGGCGAATTCGGTTATCGGTGAAACGGTTAGGAGTATAAAAAAAATCAATGGTTCGTGGGTTACATTTTATTAATTAGTACTGGTTTTCGACTCGATGGTACGTTAAAACGAAAGCGGTTGTCGCTTCGTGAAAAATGGAAATTTTAGACTTCCGTAAACAACAATGGAAACGCACAATCGCAGAAAATTTCGGAATCCAAGAGTGTCCGCTATTCAAAGGTATATATATATATATATTTAGATTTTAAGTATATATATATATATATTTAGATTCTAAGTAGAGCGAAGAAGCTTATGGCTTTACAATGATGCTTATTTTTATTTTATCTGTGAACAAATTTTCAACCAGAAATTTTGCTCAGATTTATTATAATAGCACTTTTTCTAAAAGAAAATCTGACTGGAGAGGTACTTAGGAAAGGTCATTTCCTCACTTGATTTCCCAATAAATGAGACAATATTAAATACGTATTATTAAAATATACATATGTATATACAGGTAATGCTTATTAAATTATTTTACCATAATATGACATAAATGCTGTTGACGCTATTCAGCGGTTAGCATCACTATCAACTGAACACCGCTCAGAATCGGTTTTTGTAAGTAATTGTTTATCTTTACCATCAGGTATGCATACCTACATTTAGGTATCCTACCTTTCCAACTTCTCATCTACCTACAACAGTGGCTGCACCCGTCCCCATTATCCTAGGACAGCTTTTCTTATATGTATTTCGTTTGTGTTTTTAGTCGAACGAAATGGCTTCAACGCAGATCGTTGACACCGACGAGAAACAAGACTCTAAAAGCGCCGAAGGGCTGTCGATTACTTACGGTATTGACGATAATCCGCCGTGGTATTTATGCATTTTCATGGCACTACAAGTATGTGTAAACAACTATTTAACAATTCATGTACTTTTGTACGCGTTTCAACAACAAAATTAAAACTATTTGATGACTGCAAACAGAGTCAAGTTATAATATTATCGATTTGAAATTATTTAAAAAATTATGTTATTATACTCCTACGTTATATATTATTATTAGTGCACGGGCCAAGTGATAATTTTGAAGATGAATGAAAACCAGAATATAATTATCATAAATAACTGCTGTAAACAATGAACTCCAAAACACTATATTTGTAATTTATATTATTGTCCAGGGACGTACACAGTATACAATTTAGGGAAGGTTCACAAGTATAAAATTTAAACACTTTGAACTTGAGAACTACTATTTAATGCATTTTTGAAAAACAAATAAGGTCTTACCGTCGATAAGAAAAAAATAAATTTTGATAAAATTATTAAACTCTTGTGAACTTGGAAGCGCAACAATTAGCTGACATCAATCCAACCCATCGAACAAAAGTTTTTGGTGAATTGTCAGACAACTTTTAAAATGTGTTGGACTTTAATTTCGACAGTTGGTCAAGTTGAATTTTTGTTTTGTCAAGTTTCCGCTAGCAACGTAACTATTGGTTTGGATTGTTTTTAGATCAGAATCTTAAGGTGAATTTACCAGCGCAAAGCTCAACTTGGCTCTCTGTCGAAAATAAAGTTCAACAAATTTTAAAAGTCATCCAACAACGCTAAAAAATGTACCAACTTATTTATTGGATTTACTGGATGGGTTAGATCGATGTCTGCTAATTTCGTGCTAATGTTCACAAGGGTAGTTATTAGCCGTCAAAACGTAAAAAATTGCATAAAAACATTTTTTTCTAGGATTATTTCAGGTTGATGTATCAATATTCAACAATTCGTAAGTTTTTATCTTTCACTGCTAATAATAAATTTGTAAATATTGATTTTTTTCCTATCAACTATAGAACTTTATTTGTTCCGTATTACATTCTGGCGATTTACCTTTGTACCACTTTTTAATCAGCGGTATTTTAAACCATAGAATAAATAAATACAATTTGTTTTATTCACCTAAACCCGCTGCTTGCGAATCGGACATTTTAATTTTTTCGTGAAATAAAATTCGAAAGTATTGTTACACCTGAACACAGTACATTTTCCAAATCAGAATCGTCATACATACCCGTGTTTCTCAGCTCATCATCAATATATACTATATAGTATATATATATTCTGTTTATATTCCACAGCATTATCTTACGATGATCGGAGCAATCGTCTCGATCCCGTTTATCCTTACACCAGCCCTGTGTATGCGGGAAGACGATCCTGCAAGAGGTCATATCATATCGACCATGATATTCGTGACAGCCATAGTGACGTTTGCACAAGTCACGTTTGGATGCAGGTATGATTTTCGAAGGTTTTTTTTTTTTAATTTGAGTTAAACACAGTAAAAGTATAACGATACGAATGTGCTTAATCATTTTTTAAAAAGGTAATATATCAGAAGAACCAGGAAAATTTAATATTCCGTGATCTTATTATAATAACTATAACGATCGGCAAAATATTTTTCCGGCTTTCCCGAGAGAATAAACCGTGGATAACAATTATATGTTAGTGCGATACCAATATTTATATACGAGTATATAGTATAAATATCAATACTACACGTGGATTTTTCAGAAAATGAAAAATTGTTTAATCTGCTTTTATTTGGAAAAAATTAATTTTTTTATTTTCATCTAATCTCAAAAAAAAAACCAAACTATTCACTTTACAAAATATTCAAAAAAGCCTTTTTTTAAAAGATATTATTCTAAAAAATGGAATGTATCATGCATTAATATCCGATCCACAGTTTTTTAGTAACAGCGGTTTTGATTTCTAAATTTGTTTATTTATAACACAATAATTAAACTTTCCCTATCGCGTTACGCAGTATAGTTTCATTTCCCTTACCTACTATTGGTTAGATCTGAATGTATAAGACATGTAAATGTTTAGAATAATATATTTAACAATATATAGCTATATTGAAAATGTTGTAAAATGCATAATAAAAAAGTAATTTTTTTTCATAAATTGTCTCTAAATAGATGTCTCTCTCAAAGAAAAACGGATTGAAATAATTTAAAACAAAAATTGAATTTTGACAACTCTATAAAAATCCATAGAATACGGTGGAACTCCCGTGGGTATACATATTATAGTCTTAATCTTAAACGCAACTGGCATCTATTAATATTCAACTGCATAAATAAAAACTGAGTTGATACTGATAATGGGTATGCCATTGTTGTAGATGGGAAGTTGGAATGGTGTGTACATAAAGTTAGTTAATTTGTAAATATAATCAACGATAAGCCATTGTTAGCAGATTTGAAAAACGATATGGAGTAAAGTACGATTAGACATATTTTGAAATACCGTAATTAAAAACAAAAAACACACACACAAATCATAGTAAAACCGACGGATCTCCCTCGGTCCATTCGGAATGTAAAAAAATCAGTGTTTATGTACAGTAAAACTATACGAAAATTTAAAACTGTTGTTAGCTTTATTGTTATTCTTGTGAATGTTTTTTTTTAATCTGTTTATAATTATTTTTGTTTGTTTTTTTTTTTTTTTAAATAAACCAACCCTTATTTGATGTATTATTCGATTTTCAGTAATTTTATCCGAGTCTGTGAGGATTGGGGGAGTAAAATACGTCTCTAAATCCCCTCAAATATCTACGCTACCAACGAAACTCAAAAACAAGGGCCGCGCTAGATATTTTTTTCGTGGTTATCTAAACATTCAGTATACTTACGTAATTGTAGTGTTATTCAGATTAAATTCACGGCAAAGGATTATGTTCGATGATCATAATATTTTATTGATGCTTGTGTAACATGTCATATCGTTAAAATAATTATATACACACGTGATTAATATTTTTTCCGCTCGATAAGGCAACACATATATGGATAATTAGACATTCATTAATGTATGACAAAACTAGAATGAAATACATTGCTCTACACAAATAACATACATTATAATTTATAATAAATTAATAAACAAATACATTTATTAATACAAAATTTAGTAACGTATATTGGCTATATTTATGTTCTCTTTTGCCCAGTATTGAGTTGCATTTACGGATTTAGATTCTGAGTGGAGCGAAGAAGCTTATGGTTTTACAATGATATTTATTTTTTTATTTTTTCTGTGGACAACTTTTCTACCAGAAATCTTGCTCCAAAGTATAGCACCTCTTCTGAAAGGAAATCGGACTAGGGAAGAACTTTAAAGAAGTCATTTTTTGATTTTCTCAGAAATTTTCTTAGAATAATGTCAAGAACCGAAAAAAAAACGAAGAAAAAACGGGAAAATTTACGAAACAATAAGTATTACTAATTAGTAAAAAAATATTATGGCCTTTTTTTAACTGTGAACAACTTTTCTCCTAGCGATTTTACTCTGATTTACAATAATAACAATTTTTCTTAAAATAAATCTGATTGGAGAGGTACTTGAGAGAGGTAATTTTTTGATTTTCCCAGGACTTTTCCCAATAAATGAGAAAAACGGAAATATAGAAACAATATCAAACAAATATTATTATAGAAAATATATAATTATTTTACCATAATATTGCATATATATTGTTGACAAAGCAACACTATTAACTGAACTCCGCTCGGAATCATTTTTTCGGCAATGGTTAACCGTTGCTTACAGGTATACATTAAAATACCTACGAGAGTGGCTGTACCCGTACCTATTATCCAAGGACAGCTTATTTGGTTGCTTGTCATCAGACAAGACGCATTTAATTTCTGCACACATTTGATTTATATAATCCATTTTCGAGTATCGTTTGAAAGCAATATTTACAAAATTACTGTTTGTTTGTACTCAAAACAATACCTATATCATTGTTATTGTGTTTCTTTGATTCTCTTAATAACTAAAAGTTTTATACAGCACGTTTGAATATACAATTTAATATTCAGAAATCCCAAACGATCGATTAAGCAAGTTGGTACATATAGATAATACCCGTATATACTAACTGAAATTGAACGATTTCAATAAAATGTGTCTAAGACTTGTGAGTTTGCGAAACTGCCGGTTATAAGTTTGTAATTTGTCATATTATAGACTACCAATCGTGCAAGGAGGAACGATTTCGTTTTTAGTGCCGACGTTAGCGATATTGAAACTACCGCAATGGAGGTGTCCATCCGCGGACATCATCAGCAAAATGAGCGCCGGAGAACAAGAAGAACTTTGGCAAGTGCGGATGAGAGAACTTTCGGGCGCTATAGCCGTATCAGCTCTATTTCAGGTGTTCATCGGATTTTCCGGTAAGTGCGATTTTTTCACTATCTATTTAGTTAAGTCGTGTCGTAATCTTGTTATCAATTTTAACTGTCTACTTTAAACAATTCACTTAAACGGTATACAATTATTTTTGACGTTACAGGTTTGATCGGAAAACTAGTGAAATACGTGACACCGCTAACTATCGTGCCGACCGTGTCATTGGTTGGCCTGTCGTTGTTTGAGAACGCGGGCGAGTCGGCTTCTAAGCACTGGGGCATATCGATGGGGTATACACACTACGAAAAATATTCTATGACTATCATTGTTATTATTATTATACGATTATCATCCCACAGAACGATTATTCTGCTGACGCTTTTCTCACAGTTTCTGACGGACGTCAAGTGCCCGGTCCCGTCTTACAGTAAAACTCGCGGATTTTCCATCGTCAAGTTTAACGTCTTCCAACTGTTCCCGGTAAATGGTCACGCCGTCGATTTCACGATAGTTATATCTGAGGCCGGTCGGGGTAGACCACGATAATATAAATCCCGGTGCAATAAACGGCCGAGGAAATAGTCTCGGAAAAACATACGGTTTTTTCTAAAAGCGAATACGCGTGGAACAAACTTATATGTTTATGAGTAGTAAAATTAAACGAGAACTTTTTTATCCGGTGTTTAACGGCCGGTCGACAGTGATGGATATAGTTCCATTTAAATATCATTTCATACGCGGTTCTCATATAAAACCGTCTCTCATTAATTATTAACAGGTCCTACTGACCATAATGATCATGTGGATTTTGTGCGGGATACTCACGATCACCGACTACTTCCCGGTCGGTCATCCGGCTAGGACGGACGTTAAAATCAGGATCATAGAAGATTCGTCGTGGTTCCGAGTTCCGTATCCCGGTAATATATAATGTCAGATTGTATTTAATATAGATTATAGGTTATAAATGAATATGTTTCTAAATGTGAAACAATGAAATATAGCAAAATTGAGATACCTAAATGAGTTTGGTATATTTCGAGAAAATGAGGATAAAGGCAAAGGGATTTTTTGTTGAATATTGCGTAAAAAAAGGAAATTAGTTTATAAAATCTAATATTCATTTGTTAAATAATAATATATTTTCTATCGTGTATATAGGTAGTTTACTAGGTTCCCTAATTGATGAAAAAAATTATTATTGTCGTTTCTTATAAAAAAAATCTATACTCTGTATAAATATGTACCATTTTTTCAATGGCGAACGGATTGATACTATCAGTAAACAAATTGACCTATAAGGTCTTTCACGAAATGTTTATTCACCGAAATAATCACATTAAGGCATCTGATTCTATACCTTATATTGTAGATAAAATGCTTGTGATAGATAGTAAGTATGGGGTGTGAAAAGTGGAAATACGAGATACTAGTCCGACTTTTGCAAGATAATGGCAAAGAATGTGATGTTGTTTTTCACTTTTAATTCCAATTTTACAGGTCAATGGGGTTGGCCGACCGTAAGCGTAGCCGGTGTCGTAGGAATGTTGGCGGGCGTACTGGCTTGCACCGTCGAATCCATAAGTTACTATCCGACGACGGCGAAAATGTGTGGTGTGTATACTATTATTGTATTGTGTGTATTTTTTTTTTTTTTTTTTTTGCCCACAATCGGGTACATTTGTTTTATAGAAAGTTACGCGTTAACAAATTATGTTACTATACCTACAGCTCATAGCTGCCGTTAGCCTGAACATTTGCCCAGGTCAGATTAAATGTGATTAAAAAAATAATATACATACCTCCACGTTTATAGGTCTTATAAGTATACGGAGTGGTGTATTGGAGGGTATTTGTCAATCATAGCGTATACCTTTTTGAAAAATAGACCTACGTAGGTATACGAAGGTATACTGATTAATGATAACTGAAATATCGATAGTAATATATTTTCATCGTTGTTGTGCCGGTCGCCAGAAACATATTTTTTTTTAAATAATTGTTTTCAGATAAAAAATGTAATACATACAAATGTACATCATATCCTTAGTCTATGCACAGAATTATGATTGACAAGCCAATGTGAGGGTCGATCGAAACGTTTGGTCGTTTGGACTAGAAATTTGTGGAAAATATTATAATACAATAATCAAAAAATACCTATTTTAGTTTTATAATTTCATTGTATAATACGAAGTTATAATTTGTATTTATTGCGTGAGTATTTGAAGAATAGTTAATGTAGAAACAACTAAAATAATGTATTTAAAGTAAAAAAAAAAATAAAGATAATAGTTCATATTTTCATATTTTTAGGACGTAGCGAGAACATTTTTTTTTCTCATAAAATATCATTTAAAAGTGCGTATACCTAAAAATAATTTGCCAATATACCACTGGGTATACCTCTAAATCTTGTGGTTACTTGAAAATACACTTATTGCAATTTCAATAATATTGATTTTGTTCGAGTAAAACGAGGTTTTTCGCGTTCAAATAACGTCTGACTTAGCGCGAAAAAATCATTAAATGTTTGTTCTAATAAACGATTGTTTAGTTCGTGAAATTTGTCGGTAATATGAATTATGATTTGTGTAAATTCACAGGAGCTCCTCCGCCGCCCGTGCACGCGATCAACAGAGGGATTGGTTTCGAAGGTCTCGGGACAGTGCTCGCCGGCCTTTGGGGCAGCGGAAACGGAACAAACACTTTCGGAGAAAACGTCGGAGCGATCGGCGTGACCAAGGTAACCAAGGCTCCGGCGACATTTCGGTTAATGGGTGAACGGTCGATATGTTTTCAATAGTGTAATGATAGGCAGTCAATTGCCAAATTTAATTTAGATATTTATTGCGTAATTCAATGAAAATTATGCATCACCACGAAAAAAATGTGTCAATCATGTGCACCAAATTAATGACAGATAATTTCTTAAGAAATAATAAAATACTTTGTAATAATTAATTTTAATGTAAAATATTAATTTTTTTTTTCTTTTCGTTTTCTGCTAAAATGTTTAATTTTTAAATAAAGACAATTGACTTTTGGTTTTTGCATATTTTGTGGGATATTTTAATACTTTTGAGTGCATATAAATCCGTGCTCTAAAGTCATAATATAGGTGCATGCATTATATAAGGATTTCTATAAGTGTATTCGAAAATAAGAAATGCATAGGGTGGGTGGTATACAAAAAACATTGCTCTTTTTGCAAACATAGTTCAATGCGTCACAAGTAACTATTATGCACCGTCTGTTGCTTTTTTTTTTTATTATTATTATTGGGTTAATAATATGATGGGTTCACTACAGAAATGTTTGCTACAAATAATAAGTTCCAAAAATAATTTAATGAAGAAGTAATTTCTTTCATTACGTATTGTATATTTATAGGAACACAAAAACTTCCTGCACATACAAAAATATGCATTTTTCTTCAAATTGCTATACTTTATATACGTAATGAAAAAAAAATTGTCATTAATTGTTTTATTCAGATCGGCAGTAGGCGCGTAATACAGTACGCCAGTGCACTGATGTTGATTCAAGGCGTCGTCAATAAATTCGGAGCCGTGTTCATTATTATTCCCGAACCGATCGTAGGAGGAATGTTTTGTATTATGTTCGGGATGATATGCGCATTTGGTAATATTTCAAATTTGGATTTTATTGAATAATTAAAATACTTATAAATATTAATTATAATATGTACGAGATTTAATTTTAAAATTATAGAATATATTACTCACTCCTGACACAAAACAATGACTCAGTATACATATAAAAATAATGTAGTTTTTACTACTACTTTGAAGACCAATTCAATATTTTATTATATTTTAATTCGGCTTTGTTATTGTGGTTTTACAGGTTTATCAGCTCTACAGTACGTTCAATTGAACTCTTCGAGAAATTTATATATTATTGGATTTTCAATGTTTTTCTCGTTGGTGTGTATGTTATAATATCTATACCGGGCGATACTTTTATCGTTAAAAACTCATTATCTTAGAGAGTATTAACTTTTTTCGGAATCTGTTTCATAGAAAATCTAAGAAACAAGCAGCTCTACAATTTTACATTTACATTATTTTTTGTCACCTGTATTTTCGGGAGTGAAACGACTACCTAGTTTGATTTTCAAATAGCAACCTATATTAAAATAATCCATAAATAGACGGAGTATTAGTTAAAATAAATGTTGGTGTTGACATTTTTAATTTCCGTCAATCAGTTGACGTAAGTCGTTTCATCTCCGAAAATAAGGGTGAAAAAAATATGTAACATTTTAGAACTATTTGTTTCTTACAAGTTTTCAAAAATATTCAATACTTTTTAAAATAATGACTGTTTAAAAATCCCTCGGTATATTACGTTAAGACCTAAAAATCCAAGGTTAGATTTTCAAATACGTTCTTATATTGGATTTACGGTTTCTGATGCACTGCAGGTATTGCCGAAATGGCTGATCGCCCATCCGAACGTAATTCAAACGGGAAACGAAATACTGGACAGCGTGTTGACGGTCATATGCAGCACTAGTATTTTGGTCGGAGGGCTGCTCGGCTGCTTTTTAGATAATACCATTCCAGGTATTGTAATAAAATATTATAAAGACATACCGCATAACAAACCATCATTATAGAGAATGTTTGTTTTTGTGCCGTATCAGGTACTCCGGAGGAAAGGGGTCTTATCGCTTGGGGCAAACAAATGGACCTCACAAACGATCCGACAACGGGCGACGAATCGAGTACCTTCGATTTCCCCGTTGGCATGGCACTTTTAAGAAAGTTAGTATGCGATTAAAAATAAAAAAATAATATTACCACTATAATGGAGCGGGAATTTGTTGCATGTTTATACGTGCATAATTTTAGAACGGTTTCCTATTTTTAATATTCCTGTAATCGGGTTAAGCTTACTTAAATAATTACTAGTATTGTTGGCTTATTTTAATTTACAGTAAAACCCCCACTGAAGGGCTCCGCACCTTACTACCATATCATATTCAACAATAACACGCTATAAAGGAAATTAAATTTACTAGTGTGTGGAAAAATGAACTAAAGACAATTGTTCAGGTTTATAATAACCATTTGATTTAGTTGATAACAATAAAATTGTGATCTAAAATAATATTTTGTCATTTATTTATTCGAATTTATTATTTACGTGAATTCCCTATCTGGCATAAATTAAAATGTTTCATTGTGATAAACAATAGGGAACGCTCAGCCCATGGGGGGGGGGGCTTCGGACCCCACGCACCTCTTCCCGTAAAGCCGTAAACACGCCAATGACCTCAGTTGTATTAATTTATCGTTGCGCCTGCAGATAATACCATGTAGCACGTGATACTGTCAAATACGCATACGTGCATTGCAAAATAATACGTATACGTACGTAAGGCTCTACGATAAAAATATTATAATTTCGAGATAGTAACCGTGTGCCTCCTCAACAACCCGTTTTTCATATCCTTAATCGTTGTTTTCGCAGTATGTGTAAACCGCGCCGTGGGCAAAAAGTAATACGACTTTTCAAATCAAAACTCGTGTACAATATGTATATGACCCAAAAATTAAATTTCGTTAAAAAAAATAATAAAAAACTATAGGTATTTTAAATTTAATACAATTTAGTAGGTATATGATACGGGTATTCATGCCTAACGAATTTTTGGGCGCATTTTTTTAAAAATTATTTTGCCGACCGCTGTTAAAAATTGAGATTACGCGTCGGAGCAATGAGCGATATGCTATTAGAAATTAATAAACAATAAAACACTGTGTTGATAACGTTATTAATTTATTATTCGTTTGTATATATTTTTACAGAATGAAATGGACATATTCCGTTCCGTTTTTGCCGACGTACAAACCGAGGAGAGATTGAACAGCTCATATTTTCTTCTTGTGTGTATTACTAATAAATAATAATAATAATAATATTATATATTAGTATTTTAATGTAAAAACTAACTTTTTTCCCCGACTATAAAAAAAAACCTCAAAACTACGTGAAAACAAAACCTCCTTACTGCACTAAATAGACAATATTATCTATTAATAAACAAGTCACACTTGATGGTTGTAACAAGGTTTCTGGTAGAAAAATTGTTGATAGAAAAAAAAAATCTAAACCCTCAAAAAAAACCAGGCCACGATAATTGAATGGAAACTACGGTTCTGCCAACGTGACGTTATACTATAACGGTCATGGAGAGGAATTATACCTATTATAACTATGGACAATTAGTATAATATATGTTGATTCATGGATACATCGCTAGTGTTCGTAATTTCACAACAGTAATAATGATTCTGAGCAACAGTCAGTAATAACTACTAAAGTTAAATAGTATTAATCATTTTTTGATATCACGTAACCAAGAATAAACCGAATGATTTCAAAAAAAAAAAGGGCTGATACTGCTAATGAGAGTGCGCCACTGTTGTAGGTTAAAAGTTAGAAAGGTAAAATAAAATTATAAAATTATTTAATTTAAATACTCGTGAACAACGATAGACCCTTTATAACGAAATACGGCTCTGAGTGTAGTTCAGTTATACATGTTTTAAAATTCTATAGTATTTTCGGTTTTCGTCAAAATTTGATTTTATAATATGATTACAAAAATAACTACTACGTGGTGCTTTTTTTTTTTTTGCCCGGTAAGTTATTCAAAACTTCGAATTAAATGGTTCAAGCATTTATGGCGGTTATACCAAAACATTATATCCGCGAATGCCTACAAAATAAAAACTAGCTAAAGAAACTCATAAGTATAAAATTCCTATAAAAAGTTCAAAAATCGCCAAAATGTTTTTACCATTTTTATCACATCTAGAAAGTGATTTGCAAATTTCAAGGCAATTTATTTGAAGAAAAAAAAACGATTATCGAAATTTTCATAAACAAATTTTGCAATTATTGTGCAAATATATTAGTTAAACAGAGATTTTTTTTTTGTTTTTCCCCGTTGTTGAAAAAATTACAACAAATTTAAATACAAAGAAATTTTAAAAAGTACCTACTAACATAACCTCGCAGAAAAATATAAACTAAAATACAATTATTGTTACATATATAACACGAACTAGGTAAAGTATATACCTATAATATACCTATAGTTGAATGATTAGATAAAATGTTCAATGGAAAACACAATAAATTGACTACGAAAATCGTACGACAAAAAGTAGCTACAGTTTTGCCTAACTATTTATTTATATTGTCACTATATGCTGGAAACCAAATATTTCCGTGCAAGGACCAATTTATTACTGAAGACAGTAGGTATTGTAATATTTAAAAAAAAAAAAAAAAAAACATGATATCTATAGTATCTATACCTACAATGAAAAATTTAAATTTATGTATGCTACGATTTTGCCCAGAATAAAAACAGATTTGAAGACGTGGACTTTTTTGAAAAACAAAAAGAAAAAGCCATTGGTCATTTTGGGTTAAATCCTAAGCGTTCATAGTTATTATTTTATTTATTTATATTTATTATAAATATCGTCAGAAACATTTTTTTGCGGTTAAATTTTACATGTATTCAAATTCGGATTCGTGGTATTGTTAAGCGTAGTTAAAGCCGATGTTTTCGAACACTTAGATTTTTCGCAAAATTTAAAGAGTATACGTGGTGATAGCAACTTTGGTTTTTTTTAAAAAAAAAAAAAAAAAATGAGAACCTTTATGAAAAATTCCGTAAATAAACGGATTATTACTTTAAATAAATTTCGGTGTCAAAAATGTTGATCTCCGTCAACCCGTTAACGAAATGATTAACCTCGAATTACAAATTCGATAAACATTATAACAATACAAATTATTAACAATCGTAATCTAAAACATATTAATGCTGAGACTTTTAATTTTAGTATTTACATAGCTGCCTAATGAGACGCTATTCGAATTATCGCCATTATACGTTATATTATGTTTGTTTTCGATTCAAATTTAAAAACTGTGTGTATTAATTTAACATGATTCATTATATAATTGTGCTATAATTGTCAACGCCTATGTTTGTGAATCTGTAACGGTAACGCATTATGGTTTGGTTTCGATAAGAATCAGACAACTCGAATATTTGTGTGCTTTTTACAAGTTAATGATAATAATTAATAGTATCGATTGTATTGATCGTGGTGGTTCGATTGTTAATATTCTAATTTTTCAAAATAATTTGTTTTTTATTAAATCGCTTTCGTACGGATTTAAAAACGGCTCTCGGTTCCCTATCATAAATATTTATTGTTTTATCATACAATTCGTTCAAAATATGTTCACATAAAATATAAATGTAATTACCTCCACGCACCGATTTCATTTCGGAAAAGGTGCTACGCTTAAAAATCGGAACAAGATTTCTGGTAGAAAAGTTGCGCACAGATAAAAAAAAAAAAAAAAAATAATTAAATAAACACCTTTGTAAAACCATAAGCTTCTTCGCTTCACTTTGAATCTAAAATATTAATTCTATTAATGACAGACTTTAAATTTTCGTATCACATAAAATTAGGTAATTGGGTATTCTGAATAAATATTTAAATACTTTACAACATTAGTGTCCATCAAAATATCAATTTTTATGGCTGTACAATCGTCAATCCTGATGGGAATTAACTACCTATACGAATTTATACGACATTATTTTTTAAAAAAAGTACGCATATAGGTGTTATTTTACCTCTTAATTCTTATTATTTTTTTTTCGCCGTGAACTACAGTATAGTTTTCGTTGCGTATAAACTCGTCGTTTTACGGTTAGTTTCCGTAAAATTTATGTCACGGCACCCGAACCAGCAGAGTATGAATTCGAAAATATATTAAAATTTGTATCGCTTGTGCATTATACTTATTGCGATTTATAATTTATGAATGAAAATACTAGAATATCTGTCTATAAACATAAACAGTATATATTAAATCGAATACGAAAATAATTTTCACGGGCCGGGTCCGAGACTACTCATCCAGTCGGTTTTACAACAATGCTGATTATGTAACCATAATAATGAGGTAGTCGGATTCTTTCAAATATAATAATATTATGACAAAAACAATTTTTCACAAAACTAATAAAAAACAAAAAAAAAAAAAAAACATTACCACGTTCAATACCACAATCAACGCGTAGATACCGGTGTCGAACGTGTAGGTGAAAAACGGCGGACTACAGGAAGGTACTTCTTTAATTTTTTTTCTGTACACGAAAATAACGACTTGTAAACCCTAACTTGTTAATTGTTGGTAATTATTTGCTAATGGACGAGAAGGATTATTGATCTAATCGATTTTAGAAAAAGTGGGTGGCCATTTTCACGACAAAAAAAAATGTCAGTTCTCTATGGATTTTTTTTTAATCAATTTACAACAAAATACCAAAAGCAAAAATAAAACAACTAGAATGTCATAAACTTTGCCATACTTCCTACGTTTTCCCCCGAATATTACGAAAACCCCTGGAAATAAAACAAAATTCTTTTATGCACCGACAAGATCCAAAATACCTACAACAAAAATATGCACTCGTCATTTTTTTCGATTGGAGCAAGTATTCTATTCGAAAATTTGTTTAGTCAGAAAACAAAAACATGTTGGATATTTTCGGAAAATCCAATATCTCGTTGGAAAATTAAGCACAAAATTGTACAATTCGTACTGTTCGCCAGCACTGATTCGGCACTGAATGTGAACAATACAGTAGATTTTGGTGCTTGTACCGCGTCCGCTAACTTCACTTTTTAGTGTGAGAGAGGGTCAGCTAAACTAGTCATGCTGCCTCGGGTCGTAAAATTTTCAAATGTATACATTATGTCTACATAAAGTTAAATCAGAACCATCTGTTGAAGAAACTCGATGTAAACCGCTAACGACGAGCGACGGTTCCGGCCAAGAGATGGCGGTAGTGTTTACACAATAATAATGGAACATTTTACGTTTATTGTAACGTCGGGCTATTATTAATTGTAGTCGTAACATAACACGATTCTTTGTATACTAATATACTGCAGGGAATGTCGAAATTCGATGCAATTTTCTACTGTCCACATATCTACTGATCCTTTATACATATACGACCGTATAATTTTAGTAGTCTAAGGGCCAAGGTGGATTATTATTATCCACCTCGTAGCATAGCAGTTTTGTGTTTAGGATTTTCATGTATTTTAGATTCTGAGTGTAACTACCTAATAAGAAGCTACTATATTATTTTTACTGAGATATCGTGTTTTTTTTTTTTTATCACAGAAAACACTTTCGGTTAACAGTAATTTTCCAAGTATTCTTCCCGTCATCGTACCGTATATAAATAACGCGGACGCCCGGTGGTACTGTATTAAATTTTTGAATAATTTTTGTTGGCTTATATTTTTTTAAATTTTTTTTTATACGGCAAACATATTTATAATAGTTTAACCATTTATTGCTATTATATTCAGACTCCTGCAAAAACGATAGAAATAAAATTCAGAAAAAGCAAACATCGCGCTGCGACAACCTATTGGTTGTATAGAATAGTACAGTATTCTCTGAGCTCATAGACCGTGCACTGATGTGTATTCTTTTGTCCCGGTGCTTAATTAAATTTCTGACATTTTTTTTTTTAAGTCATTTTATCAACTACATATTTTGGTCTACATGACCCAAGTGTCATTTTAACACACGCAGGATCTACCTGTTGAAAACCAAAATATTTCAAATCACGTTTTGTTTGGTAAAAAAAAAAAAAAAAAAATCATAAGTCGTGTATTATAATATTCATTACATAACGACATTGTGGCATTATGACGTTTAGCAATTCTCAATATTGCATTTTGCTTGTTGTTGCTTATAAGCACTTCTTCCCTGACGGAAACAAAGTATTTAGTACGCTGCAATTATTTTCTGCGTCCAGTAGCAAAACTCTTCGTAATAAA